AAACTGGGCTTTATCAAAAGAACTTCCACTTGAAAAGCCTCCAGAACCTGGAGGAGGCTGGCAGGACACAGTCAGAAGGTGACGATTTGAATTTCTGAACTACAGAGTTCACAGAGTGTTAGGAGCCTTTTTTCTGTTTCTTGTTTTGTGAAAGAATCTTTGCTCCAGCTCAGATTCATTTTTCTTCGCATCAGCTGCAAGAGAGCGAACCAACTTTGCTGCAAATCAAAACCCTGACAGTTCTATTTCCCCGAGATAATTGCATACTGCTTTGGAGTTTCCTTTTCCCCTCTGTTTCCTTTTGTTTTGACAACAAGATACTGGGAAAACAATATACAATTGATAACTATGCTGTCATGAGTATACTGAATTTTAAAAATAAGTAACTGTCGACCCCAAAAGCTTCCAGGAGCCTATGGAGTGAGTTCTTTTTCCAAACCGTTCCAAAACCAGATGTGGAAATGTTTAGCTAATTCCCCTCCCCAATCCCCATGCAAAGGGTTCATATGTGTCTCTAATGACATCAGAGGAGATGGGAAGGCAAAACAAAAACAAAAACAAAAACAAAAACCCCGTCTGCTCTCACCAAGCACAAACAGCACAAAACTAATTTGGTCTGCAGCTTTTGTCTCTTTCAAAAAGGGTCTTTTCTTCCCGAGATTAGAAATGCTCTGTGTTTATGCCAATATCCAATCTCTTTCTTGTAAGACATGAAGAAATAGAGTTCATGTTCCCAAAGTGAAACATTTCATGATTTTTTTGAAATGTAGAAGATGAATGAATGAATGAATGAGTGAATGAAAAAGATTTATTAAGAATTGGGCTTATTAGGGAGTTCTTGAAAAAAAAGAAAGGCAAGGAGGAAAACTCTGTCAAAAGAACTAATGGAAAATATATACGCATGGACCACATGGAGAGAAACAGAAAGCCACTGTGCTCAGTTGCTGCCGGGAAAGCAAACATTTTGCATCCAGGGGCCATTAGCAGCTTTGGGTCTGTGGGCCTCTATAGCTCAGCTCAGAAAGGCTTGGACCGACAGCAGAGCCCTGCTCGCTGCACGAATGCACCGAAACTCATTGCTTCTGGAATGTCGGGGGCTAATTTGCAATCAAGTCAAAATGGGGCTATGGTAATGCAAACCCTGAGCCTTGCTTTCTAAATGCCCAACCTCCTCCTCTTCCTCCTTTTCCCCTTCCTCCTCCTCCTCCTCAAGAAGCTGGACAGTGGTCCCAAGGTGAGCACTCCCTTCTCTGCATTTATTTCTTCCTTGTCCTCAGCTCCCCTTAGCGCTGAAGATTTCTGGAGACTTTAAATAGGATTCTGTCCACAGCTCCAGGGATGCTACGAATACCTTCCATTTGGCAGCCCCCCCCCCCCACAAAATCTGCTCTTCTGGCGCCCCTTCCCATCGGTAGCCCCTCGGCCTTCTTCTTCCTCTTCTGCCACTGAGCAGAGCCTACCCTGTCCCTCGCCTGTCTGGTCCCATTCTGCCAGCACGCGTCAGCTAGAAGTTAGAAAAGCCAGCTGATGTGATGATTTCGCACTGTGTTGGGAATGGCTTGTCACCATCCACCCCCCACACACACACACCCCCTCTACCCTGGCCTGGGAATGTTGGGCAGGAGGAAAGGGGGGGGCTGCCCAGCGCCGATGACCTGTCCTCAGCAAAACAGAACGACTCCCGAAGTGCGGCACGAAGCTGGGGTTAGCGAGCTCATTAGCAAGTGCATTCTGCTCTCCTCCTGGTCCCCCCACTCCTCCGTCTTGTACGTGGCTCCCCCTGACTTCATTTTTAAGTTTTCTCTGAGCTCGAAGGTGTGCTTCCCCTTGTGTGGCCATCTGCTCCTGCCTGGGAAAAACCGGACAACAGAGAGACGGTCCTGAGTTTGGAGATTTGTGCTAAATGCACCCCCAAACTCAGTGGCGTTACTAAACCCCTTTCTTCGAGACTGATTCAGTGCAGAGGGTGAGGTGGTCTCAAATTATGGCTTGCGGGATGGCTGTCTTATTTCTCAGAGACTCCGGGCTTTTTATAACCCTGTTTGGATTATTCATGAGCGGGGGGAGGGGGAGAGGGAAGATGCTGGAGAAACGGAAGGCTGAACTCCCCCCCAACCCCACCCCGGCACCGGAACCCAGCCGTAAACTTGGGGTCTCAGTTTAGGGTTGGGACAACCAAAATGGAAGAGAAGGATTGTTTCTTTGGCCTAGTCCGGGGACTCCTTCAAGGGGGAGGTTTTTGTTCAGGGCAAATAGGTCCTGGTTATGAGATGACGGTAAGGGCAGGGAGAAGGCGAGAGAGGGAGAGAAAGCCACTCCGAGAACCCGCTCGGGCAGGGTGGGCTCCGTGAGACCCGGACAGAGTGGATGGCGCGCTGGCGATGGAGCGATGACCTCAGCAAGCATCGGGCGTCATTCCAGAGCCAGCGGTTTGTTTACGTAACTGTTGAGTCATCCTCTAAGACCAACCGGCATCAGGGTGGACTTGCGGTTTGTTGTGGTTGTTGCTCTTTTATTTTGTGTGTTTTGTTTTTTTGGAGGGGCAAGGGGGTCCGTTTCTCTGTTTTGTTGCTGCTACTTCTGTTTCTGCTTGTGCAAGACAAAAAGGCAGTCCCAGGAGACACCAGAACGAACCAAGAGGGAAGGAAGGAGCCCGGCAGACCCCTTAGACTTCTCTCTACAGCCAGCGCCCCCGAGAGAGAATGAGGAGTCATTCAGGAGAGAGATACGGAGGCGCGGTCCGCACCCATCGCAGCAAGGGCCTGACTTAGAAACAAAGCCTTTCATGCAGGCCTTTGCGCTCTTCTAGGGGGCCCCTTATACCAGGGGGCCCCTTATACCAGGGTTTCCATCAAAGAATGCAGCAAGTTCATCAGTATCAAAGGAAGGGGAAGAGCCCCGTTTTTGCGACTGGGGAAGGGGGAAGATAGAAATGTCTGGGATGCCGTGCACATAGTAGGCGCTCAATAATAAGAGTCAAAGAATGGATTCGTATAGGCACGGGTGACTTAACTCATCAGGGAACAAAAGTAAAACCCCACACTTACGCATATCCATTTCCTTTGAAAGTTTGGGCGCGTTTCTATTTGGTTTATGTCATTTTCACTTTTTAAAAATGAAAGTGGGGGCGCCTGGGTGGCTCAGTCGGATAAGCGACTGCCTTCGGCTCAGGTCATGATCCTGGAGTCCCGGGATCGAGTCCCGCGTCAGGCTCCCTGCTCAGCAGGGTGTCTGCTTCTCCCTCTGACCCTCCCCCCTCTCATGTGCTCTCTCTCTCTCTCTCTCATTCTCGCTCTCTCAAATAAATAAATAAATAAATCTTTAAAAAAAATAAAATAAAAATGTAAGTGGACTCGGACAATATTTGATGATACTCCTCTTCCCTCCTTGTGCCGTTTGTCACCTCCTTCTGATACTGGGTTTTAGATGCATGTCCTTGCTTAGCCTGGCTCGTTTTTCTCCCCATTTTGCTCTCCCCGCCACTCTTTAGGAGGTGAAAGGCAGTAGGACTAGGAAGTGGCTGCAGAGCTTCTCATTGAAAAAGAAGAGACATTAAAAAAAAAAAAAACTAGTGAAAACAAAAGAAAACTATAAAGCAAAGCATTAGGACTCAGTGAGGTGCAAACCGTGGCCACAAAGAAGATGAGCTACCTCGCCAACCAGTGTGTGAGGTGCAACCCCACGACTCGCTTTCTTCCATCTGGTGCTCTTGAATTGTTTTCATGCATAATATGAATGGGAAAATGTAAAATTAAAAAGCGGTATTTTTTGTTTCTGCAGTTTCACCATTTTACAAGGTGCCCTGATTGACGTATCGGGGAATCTCTGGGTCTCTTACGATGTTACTATGACAGTTTATGGAGTATCCATTTGCTTGGGGAGATTTCTTGGTCTCTTGGGGAGATTTCAATATGTGGTTGTCAGGAATAAACCGCATTTTCTTCTCCGGCTTTTACTTAATTATGTTTGTCGCTCACCAACACGAGGCAATAGGGAGGGGTGCCACCAGCTTGAATTAAACTGGATCTCCTGTCACCTTAGTTAATGTTTGGCATGAAAACAGTTTCATTTTTTTGGTTGGGGTTGCACACAAAGGGATGCCTTTGCTGACCAGGGTCGACTCTCATTTGGTATATGAAGGATATGCGTTTCATACGGAAATAGCACAGTAAAGCCACTTAGAGAAGACGCTGTGGTCATCTATCGCCACGCGAGTTCCAACAGAATTGAAATTCTGTTCTCTCTCACAAGAATGTTTTCCTTTCCTCTGTTTTCTTTGCTTTCAGTTTTATCGAGGTATAATTGACAAATACAACTATAGGATATTGAGGGATGCCTGGGTGGCTCAGTGGGTTAAGCGTCTGCCTTCGGCTCAGGTCATGATCTCAAGGTCCCGGGATCGAGTCCCGCATCGGGCTCCCTGCTCAGCGGGGAGCCTGCATCTCCCTCTCCCTCTGCCCCTCCCCACTGCTTGTGCCCTCTCTCTGACAAATAAATAAATAAAATCTTTTTAAAAAAATTATAGGATATTGAAAGTGTACAACGTGATGGTTTGACATATGAATAGATCGTGAAAGAATTCGCCCAATCGAGTTAACACATCCATTGCCTCACCTTTGTTCAGAGGACATTTTAAGTCCTACTCTCTTAACCTTTTGGAAATACTTCATTTTGGGGCGCCTGGGTGGCTCAGATGGTTAAGCGTCTGCCTTCGGCTCAGGTCATGATCTCAGGGTCCTGGGATCGAGTCCCGCATCGGGCTCCCTGCTCCTCGGGAGCCTGCTTCTCCCTCTGCCTCTCTCTCTCTCTCTGTCATGAATAAATAAATAAATAAAAATCTTAAAAAAAAAAGGAAATACTTCATTTTTTTTTTTTAATGATTGTGTTTGAACTTAAAATAGGAAATAAGATGATGTGCCTTTTGTGTCTCTGTGTGTTCTAGAAATCCTCACCAGCCAGCTTCCTGTTTCCTGAGCGTCGTTGCCTGATCGGCCACAGGGATGAAAGTGTTCGAGTTGATAGGAGGGATGGTCATCCTCACCTCTGTGTTTTCGGCCTGTGCCGCACAAAGTCCAATGACTGTGCTGTGCTCCCTAGACTGGTTCATGGTCACCGTGCACCCCTTCATGTTGAATAACGATGTATATGTGCACTTCCATGAGTTACACTTGGGCCTGGGCTGCCCTGCCAACCACGTTCAGCCACACGCCTACCAGTTCACCTACCGCGTTACGGACTGTGGCATCCGGGCCAAGGCTGTCTCTCTGGACATGGGGACTGTTGGGGAGCAGTGCAGGACATGGGAGTAGCTGGTGGGACAGGCACCACCACCCAGCACGGCGGGGCAAGCTACGACGTGTTCACCTTGTCGCAGTCCAGCCAAAGGCCTTGTGTCTTCGGCGAAGAGGAGCGTATCCAGGCCCCCCGGCACCAAGGGGAGGCTCAGGAGGGCCTGCTGGTGCAGCCGTCTGCCTTTGTGGATATTTCTGAAGACTGGTCTCTTCGCTCGGATGATCTTATTGAGTCCATGTGATCCCCGGCTTTGGGGTCTCCTGTAGATGCTTTTTCTAACATAAGTATGTAATATTTTCTAATCTCAGACACGTAAGTGTTTTTGGTAGCCCCTTTATGAGTGCCTTTGAGAGAGGGCAGCTCGTGGTATTTTCATGAATAAAGCTTTTCTATATTTTTATATCTTTTTTTAAAAATAAAATTTTGATGGCATAAAACTATCAGTTCAGCATTTTTATTTAATAAACACACACACATATATATATATAACTTTTGCTGGGGGCCAAACACTGTTCTAAGGGCTTTATAAACATTAGTGCCTGGTCTCTTCTGTCTAGGATGATTGAGCTCCCCTTGAAGCGAAGGCCCCCAACTGAATCCCTCCCTCCATGTCCCCATTTCACTTACACTCTGTACCTCCCACCCTAGCACTGAGCCTCACGCCGCCTTCTTAGTCTGATCGACGGCTGTACTACTTTTCATTTGTGGGACGTATAGATTCCACTAGTGATTCCGAAACCACCAATGGTTCTAAGAATTACTCAGGTCACATCCCACCAACTAGATGGTAAGCTCCTGAGGCCAAGGGCTGGATCTTCTATTTAGTCCTAGACCGATAGGATTTTGGAAGGAGTTTTGGTCCCTGACTGTTGTGATCAGAAATTTTTCACCCAGGGTTGGCTAACCACTAGCTTTCTCAAACCTTGGAAGGGTAAAAGTGGGCAAATATATTCAACAAATATTCACTGAGTGCTACTACATTTCAGGTACCATTCTAGGTGCTGAGATAGGACAGTGAATAGAAACTGAGCCTCAGGGGCGCCTGGGTGGCTCAGTCGGTTAAGCATCTGCCTTCGGCTCAGGTCATGATCCCAGGGTCCTGGGATCGAGTCCCACATCGGGCTCCCTGCTCGGCAGAGAGTCTGCTTCTCCCTCTCCCACTTCCCCTGCTTCTGTTCCCTCTCTCGCTGTCTCTCTCTCTGTCAAATAAAATCTTAAAAAAAGAAAAAGAAACTGAGCCTCAGAGAAATTGAGGTCACACAGCTAATAAACAAATAAGTAAACAACAATATGTTCAGGTAACAATGAATGCCATGCGAAAACCTGAAACCAGGTAATACGAGAGAAACTGGAGAAGGGGTCAGAGCGGTCAGGGACTCTGACGACTTGTCATTTGAACTGAGACTTGATGTGAAGAAGGAGCCAGTCCTGGGATGATCTGCGAGAACATTCCAAATAGTAAAAGCATCTCATGTAATCTTCACTACAACCTTGATCCATTGTACAAATAAGCACAATGTACATGATACTATTGTACACAATGTGCATATGATACTCATTCAGTAGATGAGTAGAAATTCAGTCGCTGCCTTAGTCTGTTCAGGCCGCTCTAACAAAGTACCATAGACTAGGGGGCTTATAAACAACAAGCATTTATTTCTCATGGTTCTGGAGGCTAGAAATTCGAGATCAGGGTGCCGGTATGGTCAAATTCTGGTGACACACTCTTCCGGGTTGCAAGCTGCTGTCTTCTGGTTGTGTCCTCACATGGCGGAAAGACAGCAAGACAGTTCTCTGGGGTCCTTTTTATAAAGCACTAAGCCCATGCACAAGGGCCCCACTCTCACGACCTGATCCCCTCCCAAGGGCCCCACCTCTTAATGCCAGGACATTGTTAGGATTTCAACATATGAATTTGGGGGACACCCAAACATTCAGTCCATTGCATTCATGGTAGTTGAAGAAACAGCTCATTTAAAAATCTCCTGCCCCCTTGGGGCGCCTGGGTGGCTCAGTCAGTTAAGTGTCCGACTCTTGATTTAGGCTCAGGTCATGACCTCAGGGTGGTGGGATCCAGCCCCAGGTCAGGCTCCGTGCTCAGCACAGAGTCTGCTTGTCCCTCTCCCTCTGCTCCTCTCTCTCTCTCTCACTTTCTCAAATAAATAAATAATCTTAAAAAAAAAAAAAAGCTCCTGCCCCTCCCTGAGGAAAACCCAGAACGGAGACGCCCGAAAATAGTCTATTCATTCAACAAACATTTCTTGAGCTTGCCCTATGTCCCAGGCATTATCTTAGATGCCGAGCATGCACTGGTGAACAAAACCAACAGTCTAATCAGGAGGAGGCAAGTAAGGAAGCCTAGGGAACTGAGGCTATTCCAGCCCAGAGAAAGCCTGTGTAGATGATACGAGCTATGACCATCAGAAGGACCGCAAGTAGTTTAGTCCAATATGATGGCCGGGGGAGGGGGGGCGGGGGGCGGGCAGTCGATGGTAGCAAGCGATGAGGTTAGAGAAGTAGCAGTGGGGCGCCTGCGTGGCTCAGTCATTAAGCGTCAGCCTTTGGCTCAGGTCATGCTCCCGGGGTCCTGGGATCGAGCCCCGCATTGGGCTCCTTGCTCAGTCTGCTTCTCCCTCTGCCTCTCTCTCTGTCTCTCATGAATAAATAAATGAAATCCTTAAAAACAAAAAAGAAAAAGAAGTAGCAGTGGACAAGACCGTGCGCCAAGAGAACCAGCACTTCCCTCCCTCATCCTCTCATCGGAAGCTTACAGATTATAAAACAAAACACATAGGAAGAACTGAGCAAGCATCCAATGCTAGACACATTAGACCCGGGGTTCCGTGTACAGGTTGTGTGCCTCACGAAGGCAAGGAGCACTTTTCACTGAGACACCCCTTGGGGTTATGTCATGTGTCAGCCTCAGAGGACCCTCAAGGCCTACGTGGTAATAATAGTTGTTACCACGTGCCAGACACCTTAGAGGCATCATCTTACTTAATCCTCACAATAGTTCTGCAAGAGGAACATTATTTTCTCTTGTTTTATAGATGAGGAAATGGGCTCAGACAAATCAAGGTGGTGCAGTGAGTGAGCGACATCATTCGAATTCAAACCCAGCTTCGTCTGACTCCAAAGTCCACTTCCCCCATTCTATTCAACACTCTCTCCCAGAGAAGAGATGCTTCTGGTTGGGTTGGAAGATCCGGGAAGATTTCCTGGTAGAGGTGGTCAATGACCTCACTCTTGGAAAATGAGGAGGATTTGGCCAATCAGACAAGAGGAAGAAGAGCTTTCTTTGTGAGCATAAGCACTGACACAGGGGGAGGAAGCAGACTGTGTTGGAGCGCGGACATTGGGGGGCTGTTACGCTAACCACTCAAGGCGAGAAGAGATGAGTAGAGCTGGTGGGGGGAGGAGTTGACGTGTAGGAAGAGACAAAAATGAGAGCCATTTCAAGTGAAGAACAGCAAGACTTCAGTCCGTTACATGTCTATATAAGCCCCACTCATGATTAAGAGATCAATCGAATAGTGCCGGCAAATTTGGAGTCTGGAAGACTCCAGAGTGGAGAGAGCCGGCTTCATGGAGGGCATAAGACTTGAGCTAAATCCTAACCTGTCTGACTGTGAAAAAGAAGGATTGAATCAAAGAAAGTGTCACCACTTAGAACCCTAAGAAGCTCAGAAGACACAGTAAGCTCTGGATTTAAGTAAGGAAATTAGAGTGAGGGTAGAGGCCAGGGGTGAAGATGAGTCCAGGTTGGACATGTTGAGTTTGGCAGATGATAATAACATCCCAGTGGACGGACCAGGAATCAGCTCAAGAAATTGGAAGGGGTCATCACTGGGAGATACGAGCTTGGAGAGGTCACGTGCACACAGGCAGGTAGGACCACTGCAGCGCAATTCCCTAACACTCACATTCAAGGCACAGTTAGGAAAAGAAGCAGATATGTCAAAGGACACAGAACGGAAGTGATCAAGAGGTGGAAGGAGAAGTGTGACTCGTGGAACTCCAGGAAGAAGAGATGGGTGGGCTCTGTCTTCCAGTGCAACAGAGGAGTCAAGGTGGGGGCAAACCTGGTCATCATGGAACTGGGAGCCTTTGAACTGGCCTTAAATCAGAGCATTTCATTAGGTGAAGTTGGGCTGGAAGGGCATCCGAAGCAAAGGAAACTGCAAGAACACACATGCAAAGCAACATCGTGGTCAAGAATCATCTTTTGCCTGGGTAAACGTCTCAGTATAATTAGGCATACCTCTCAAATTCCAGGCGTACCCTACATGTGTTCCCTTGGAGACACCATTCCATAGTCGGCGTGCTCCGTACCCATTTCGACTGCATGTTTGGTCTTCTCCCCTTGACCGCATGCTGCTGGAGCATGGGGGGCCCTCTCCTATTTGTCTGTTTCTTCATTTGGCCTTTCTCTTACGTAGCACTTGACAGGGGCTCAATCCAGTTGACTGACTGGTACTGAAGATCATAAGCATAGGAGTCATTTAAAAGATGGGAAGATAAAACTGCTGTAACCCCCCCCAAAAAAGTACATTTTGAATTGGGCGAATTTATTGACCTTTTGAAGTGCCATCTCTAAAAGAGCATTTCCCTCCTTTATAGTGGTAACGTTCACTCCATTTTTAAGGTGACATGACGTCTAAAACAAAATCTGCCACATAGTGTTAATCATATCTGTAATAATAAGAAATGTTTTATTGGGGTCAAAAGAAATGAGCATTTTCATCTTTCTTTCGATCTCTGGGAAAGCCAGAAATGTCTGAAACCATTTGTTATGGTAATCGCTTGTCAAATATTTAAAAATTAGAGCCATGGGGCGCCTGGCTGGCTCTGTCAGAAGAGCATCTGACTTTTGATCTTGGGTAAGGAGTTCAAGCCCTGCGTTGGGTGTAAGGATGACTTAAAAATAAATTAGAGCCATAATCTGTACACTTAATCAAGGGTTAAAATGGCAAATATTATATTTAACACAATTTTTTACAAAACTTTTTTTTTTTAAAGATTTTATTTATTTATTTGAGAGAGAGAATGAGAGACAGAGAGCATGAGAGGGAGGAGGGTCAGAGGGAGAAGCAGACTCCCTGCCGAGCAGGGAGCCCGATGCGGGACTCGATCCCGGGACTCCAGGATCATGACCTGAGCCGAAGGCAGTCGCTTAACCAACTGAGCCACCCAGGCGCCCCTTACAAAACTTTTTTAAATCACAAAAAAAAAAAAAAAAAAAAAAAAAAAAAAAAAAAAATTAGAGCCATAATGAGATTTTTCATCCATAAAAGGAGACTCAAAGTAACATTTAAAATTTTTATTCCTATAACCTGAAAACAGCAAACCAGATTTTTTTTAAGTGTGTAAATTATATGTAAATGTTAAGGGCAAAAGTCTTTTATCCCTAATTTTAAAACAATAGTG